AAATTAAAAGGGAATTCAATTAAAAGGTTCTCAAAAAATTAATTCTGACCTCTCTACATCTGTCCAAATAAATAAGACTTCTTTCAACGTTTTCACTTAATGGATAATCCAATAAACTAGAAGGGCAATTGTTAGTTTCATTAAGCGTAATGTGTTGTAGGGGTTAAAAATGTGATCATTTTAATGTTAACAAATATTTTATTTATTTATCTACTCAGATGACTATTTCACATTCCTTCCAAGCCCTATTGATAAAAGACAGCAACATATTCATCAGCCATTTCCTATTGTTCTTTTGGAATTTTAAGATAAATATGTTAACGGTTAAGAAATGAGGCCAGTCATGGTGGCCCATACTTGTAATCCCAACACTTTGGAAGGCCGAGATGGAAGGATTGCTTGAGTCCAGAAGTTCAAGACAAGCCTGAGCAACACAGTGAGATCTCGTCTCTACAAAAAAACTTTAAAAAAATTAGCCAGGTATGGTGGCATGCTCCTGTAATCCCAACTACTCGGGAGGTTGAAGTGGAAAGATCACATGAGCATAGGCAGTTGAGGATGTGGTGAGCCATTGTCATGCCACTGTACTTCAGCCTGGGTGACAGAATGAGACTCTGACCCAAAAAATTAAAAAAAAAACAAAAGGAAAAAACTAATCTAAACTTGTTAGCTACAATCTTCTAGTAAAATTTGTCTCAGTAGTTTAGGGTCATCTTAACTGTTCCTCCAATGTTTTGGTAGCCTAATTTATAAAGCTTTATTTTTTTTAGTGAGGTGATTTAATAGCAATTCCCTATGTTGCTATATGAAATCTACAGAGAGAAGATTTTGTTTAAAAAAAAAAGTGGCAAATGTATTACTACAGAATACTAAACTGAAGCTTTGACCTTTTTTCTTTTAAATTTGTATGAGTAATGAAGAAGTTAAGACCAAAGAATGTGAGTTAATTTTCTTTATTCAGTGAGCAAGACATTCAATGAGCAGCATAATACTAAACCAAGTTTTATACTGGAAAATAGATGAAAATGTGGAGGAGGCAGTACTACATAAGAAAATGAAGAGTCCAGAAAAATCTAAAGTATTTCTTTCCGTTCTGCAACCTATGATGCCATGTCTCTACTTACTTGCACAAATACCTTTTACAGACAGAGGATATAAAACTGTAGAAGCTCACAGTTATTTCCAACTAACTACAATGTATGGAAATTGATTTGAGACTGATGTCCTTTGACAAAACTCAATATCAGAGGGTACTGATCCAGAGATGGGGTTGGGGTGGGGGTGGCAGTGTCACAGAGACCTACTGCCAGGGCACCTGGGCACCACACCGACTTGGCAGTTGCCAGGGTGGTTCAGATCCCAGCAGAGCCTGAGGTTTTTAACATTTTCTTAAACAAAGCACATAGTTTGTGAATGTCTGCTCCTCCTGAATGGGGATACAAAAACTGAGTAGAATGGAGTGAGGCCAGAGCAAGGGCTCTGCTTCTTGAGCCTGGGGGGACTAAGGCTCCAGGGAAGTATGGTCAGCAGCACCATGTCCCATGAGGGCCTTGGGGGAGGACTTGAAAAACTGTCCTCTGATGGAAGCAGCGGTGTCATCGCCTGCTCTACATCATCTTGTCTCTGTGCAAGTGTGCTCTAGAGCCTTAGTCATGAAAGAAAATGTCATCTCCTGTGGGTACATGAAAGACAACGTGTATACTCTGGAATCCTACTATTCTTTCTTAATCTTACTTATTAAAACAAAATAGTTGTAAAAAGGACTACTCAACTCCATTATTCTGGCACTGAGTGTTTAGAGAAGCAATGTTAAGTTCCATGTTTTCTGAGAAATACATTTTCTTAAAAAGATGCTAACTCATCAATTAATTTTTTTCCCTGTTTCTTTCAGCACTTTCCTAAATAAGAAGGATATATATCAACTGGAAGGATGTAAATGAAATTAATGGCTCAATTTTCAGTATGTGGAAAATTTCTAGCAAGAGTTTTCTGAGATCTACTTTACACTGTGTACACTGTAGGTACAAACCAAATGATGGTGAGACAAACAAATGTTTTTATTATTGCATTCGGGCATTAACATGACGGTCATTTGCCAATCCAATGTTGTCAAAGGACTGTCATTTGCCATTTAAACACCTGATCAAATGTTGTTTGATCAAATGTTATTAGAAGCTGACAATTCTTCCTAAATTTTAACAATTAATAAAGCCAGTTTCTTTTGATTCTTGTGACGTGGTTTTAGAGGAATCGTAATTCATGCATTGGCAAAGCATTATCTAACGTAACAAAGTTTTCCTTTTCAGGGGTTTGTCTAACCAACAAAAAAGCACAGCAGGAATGTACATAATAACCTCTCTAGCACAGTCCTTCAGAGAGGCTGAGAAAACACATTTATACAAACTAAGTCAGATTCGCAACCTAAACAATTTGTATTTACTATTTGAAGGACATGGTCATGATAACCACCCAGATTGTTATGTCTCTAGTATTAGTTCCCAAAATGACACTATATATAATAAAGGCAATAGGAGAGAAAAAAAATAACAATCACTGACATGGTAATTTCCACACAGTGACTAGATTTTGTCTTGAAAGTGTATTAGTTTAAGTTAAATTTAGCTAAGTTTCCTCACTGTCATCCTGTTCTTCACAATTGGTTTTCTACATTTCCAGGTTTCTTAAACCCTTATCAGTTGGAAGGGGATGTGGGAAACACTGTTCAAAGATCTGAGGGAGTTTCTCTTTTCTTCTTAGTGATAAAGGTTAAAACTGTATGTAGGACTGCCAAATAAGGAACCTCATATCCTTTAACACTTACAAAATGAGAATTGTACCAGTGAGACCGATGTTACGGGGTTATTGAGTAAGGATTAAATAAAATAGCAAGCATCTTCATCTTTGTTCTGGCCCTGCCCTGAGTAGGCACACAGTGCAAGAAAATTTCCTTTTTCTCCACATTGACCCAGCAATACAACCTCAGTGTAACACATGGCCAAAGAAAAGGATTTCAGTGAGAATTCCCATTTGTTTGGTGCCAGTCCACTCCCCATGAACTTCTGTAATGCCTTCAAGATGCCCAGTGCCATATGGGGAGTTCACACAGAACTAGCAATTTATAGAGAAGATATGGGATGAAAGAACAATTTACAGCAGGTCACAGGGGAAAAGTTAGAGACACAGTGCACACATTCACACAGTTACTAAGCCCTATTATAGTTTGGTATAAGGCAGCAGTTCTCAAAGTATGGTCCTCAGGCCGTTAGCAACAGCTAACCTGGGAACTTGACAAAAACGCAAATATTAAGTGTCCCACCCCAAATCTTCTGAATCAGAAATCTGTCCTCCAAGTGATTCTCATGTCCCTAAAGTTTGAAAACCATTAACTATTCCATTATTAAGACATATTGTATTATCTTGATAAGGGAATTAAAGTATTAACTATACCCTAAATTACAATAAAAAAGTGAAATATATAAAGGTATTAGAAAATGAAAAATTCATTTTATCTCTACTAAACATCCATTTCAACACAAATGATGTGAAGATAAGACTAATCCACCTTTCACTGGCATTGCTTTCTAAGTACTATGCTGAGTGTTTAGCAAGTGAAATAACTTAGACCTCATGATTCTAATGAGAAGCAAATCATCATCTCTACAACTCATACACAGATAATTATAAACATTAGGGGTCAGGAGCCCTTTAAATACCTGCTACTAAGCTGGCAAGTTTTGGTCTCTGACCCGGTAAGACAGAGGAGGGAGTGGAAGAAAGTGACCTCCCTCGCACGCCAGTGGATTAGGCAAGCCTGGACTCACAGCGATGGGAAGTGACCTGCCCCAGTGCCAAGTGGTGTAGTAGGCAAGCTTGCAACACCAGGAACACACCAATTAGGCTAAAACTGCCACCACCAAGAGTAGCTTTACCCTACAAAGGAGAATGAGAACAGCGGCAAACAGGTCCAGGCCAAGGCCAAGGCCAAGGCAGGCAGTAACAAACACATTGCAAAGATGACACGCAGAACTGAGCTAAAGGTCAAAGAGTTGGCAGATGTGGGACAACCTCTGTTCACACACTTGGAGAAAAGCCTACATTCTTTTTTCTGGCTGTGGTACTAACCTTCTCCTGAGCATGAGGAAGTCACATACAACCTCTGTGGTCTTCAGTTTCCTGAGGTGACTAAGTTGTATGAGCTTTTAGGTATGTTCCAGTTCTAAGACCTTGCAATTTAATAAGACAAGGTCTTGCTATGGGTTTAAAATCTTACTATTAAATATCATAGAACAAGCAGTTGGTCAAAATAACAACAACAACAACAACAACAACAACATACACCTGTTAGGACTGAAATTCAAATGGAATAATTCATGGTTATTTTTACATAGCCAGATCAAATATCAGATTATAGTTGTGTATAAACTAGGTTTTTGGTCCTATGCAGACATATACATTCTTTGGGCCTTGAACAGCACTTTGGTAAAAATTCACTCAATGTGTAAGAATGCATTCTCCCTCCTCTCCATATTTGTTGTTAGGGTTCATGTTTATTTCTTTCATCTGATAAGAAAACATAATATCCAGCCGGGCTCAGTGGTTCAGCCTGTAATCCCATGCTTTGGGAGGCTGAGGTGAGTAGATTGCCTGAGCCCGCGGGTTCGAGACCTGCCCGGGTAACTTGGCGAGACCTCATCTCTACAATAAATCAAAAAAAAAAAAGAACCGGGTGTGGTAGCGCGTGCCTGTAGTTCCAGCTACTTGAAAGGTTGAAGCAGAAGGATTGCTGCAGCCCAGCAGGTCGAGGCTGCGGTGGCCAGGAGTGTGCCACTGCACTCCAATCTGGGTGACAGAGTGAGACTCCAACTCAAAAAAAAAAAAAAAAGAAAACATAATATCCTTTAAAAAAAATTATTGGTAAGAAGACACATAGGTAAGCAAGCTCATAGAATCTTTATATACTGAAAGCATTACAGTACATAAGATATGAATTGAAGACTGACCTCTTTCCTGTGGCATTGGTGACTGGCTCAAGGCAGGATGGGAACTGGATTCTGACTGGCTCCCAGGTGGCTGAGGAGGCATTTGACTGCCTGTAAAACACAGGAGGGAAGGCAGGGATAGGGGAACCCTTTGCATTAATACTGCAATCACGTAAAACCAAGACACAGTTACAATTAATTTTTATGATTGCAAAAGGTATGACCCCATATAGAAAAAGACATAGCTCTAAGAGTATAATATTTCATCTTTTTTTCCCTGTAAAACAGAGGAAACAAACATATTTAGCAAAATATCTTTTTAAGGAAAGTCCAGTTTGTTACTGAATGAATTCCCAAACTCATAGATGAATCAATCTGTAGCTGAAACCTCTTTGAGGTATATGTCTTGAATGAGTTTAACAAAATCCACAACTGTGAAGCCAAACTTATCCTCCTGATTCTAAGCCAGGTGGGCAGACATGCAGAGTGGCCGACAATTACTCATTGTTAATATCCAATCAATAAAGTAATATCGACAGATCTCTAAAGAATCTTCATTGTTAGACAATCAGATATTTAACATAAACTTAGAAGATCTCCACTAAGAAATATAACATACTACTATAAAATGTAGTGTATATGACTCCTAAAGAAGAGACTATTAATCTGCATCTATTTTGATCTTTATTGCTAAATACAGCAATAGTATCTATTTAATTCCCATTTATTTAATGTTTGTTCAGTTTGTCTTTTCCAAGTATAAAAGTAAGCTCCTTAAGACAGGAATCATGCCTATACTCCTTCATTTCCTCTCTTAGCATAACAAATACTTGATAAATCATAGTCTGAGAACATGACTTAAAGAAAAAGATACTTATATTGATTAAAAAAACAGACAAAGAGTCATGTGAAGGCAGGAGATGGGATTTTGAAACTTAAAATCGTCAGAGGTAGTTGACGATCTCAACTCACTTTCTGGTTCAGAGGCTTAGATGCATTCCTAAGCTAAAAATATAATAGAATTAAAAAGGCAGTTGAATTTAGCACAATCCTCCAGGTACTAACTCTCATGACATAAGGACTACGTTATTTTATCTTCTACCCTCCCCCTGTGCTTCAATAAATTGGAAAGACAAATATATACATACATATATGGTATAAAGAAAATGCTACACAGTCCTCTAGTATGGCAGTCATGTGATCATGCAAGATCAAGCTAACTGCTTTGACCCCATAGGACCTACACTACTTCGTAGTTATGCATATTGCTAAAAATAATCACAAGTGAGGAAAGAAGGAAATTAACATCCTGAAGATCACCACCAATTCACCCAGGTAAAGGTCAGGATGCACATGCAGCATGAAGTTTCGTGTTCTACAATGAACAACTGCCTCGTGTTCCTGTAAGATGGGGGTGTCTGTTATGCCACTTGGCTAGGCAGGCCAGGCAGGGGTAGGGTACAGTCCCAGAGAATCTCAGAACTGCCACTCCTTACTAACTTTAATAACGGTTGCACCTGTGACAGCCAGAGGGGCAAGGAGATGATTTTCAGTGTAGGTAACAGTTATAAATAGTTGTAAAATATTACTATGAAACAATTCTCAAATTGTTTTCAGGAGTTTAAACTTCTGTTAGAGAAGAATGTAAAACGTATAAGCGAATGAGTGTTTAAGAGTGTTTAAACTGCCACTGTCATTCTCAAAGTGAAAACCAAAGACCTGAGTTCACAGATACTGAGAAATATGTGCTGTGAAAACACTAAGAGTTTGCTTTTATATTATTGCCATGACCACTAGGGTAAAAGACCTGGACAAACAGCACAGAATTTGTTTAACCAGTCATTTAGTTTTGGGCATTTACTTAATATTAGTACCAAATAATTAAACGTAAAGTAAAAAACACTTAACATTCTGGACCAAAACCAATTTCAAGGGTAAATACTGGTCACCAACTTGGCTACAACTCTACGAAAGTTGTGTGTTCACGGGAGGGTCATGTGTTTCCTATGAAATAACCCCAAGGCCTTGGATCTATGGTCCATTTAGAAATTTAAAGCACTCTGCAGCCAAATACTGACTTTTTAAAATGTCACTGGAGAATCAGCTGTAGCAAGACAGTAAGTGCTTACATTATAATGATCACTTCTGCATGACAGACTAGATTCATAGACTCATGACAGTAAAAACAAACAGTAATTCTATGTTAACACAGGGCACCATGGCTTAGATAGTACATGCCCGAGGCACTGCTCTTATACACAATATTTCAAGTAGAAATAAAAAAGGCTGTAAGAAACCCATGCCATGAATCATAAAATACTGCCACAGCCAAGCAGCACTACTGGTTGTCTAATACAACTGTAAGACAGATGTCCCTTTTAAAGCAATGACAAAATTCACGTATTAAGTTCATCCTGTTAAAGAAATAAACAAAAGCTTTTTCATGATAAAGACAGATTTGTTCAAACCATTTTAAATTCTTCATTTTACTTTACATCCTATCTTTCTACCCATAGTTTCATAACTAAGTCATAGTTACTAAGCTTTACTAACTATAGTTACTAAGAAATAACTTCATCTTACATAAGCAGAATATAAGCACAGTCATAGCAGATGATGACTCAGAAAATACAGAAGACAGGTGTCCACGGTACAAATAAAAAGGAAAATTCAGAGCCCTCTGAATCAACTGAATTAAGTAAACACTTTCAAAACCATGGATTTCTATAGGACATGTTAGTCTTAAGTTAACCTTTCTAACAATATTTGGTAATAATTTTTAAAGACTACTGCCATGCACAGCGGGCAAACCAACTTTATAAGGACACTTTAACATTAAAACAGTTCCTAGGAAAAGTCCCATGTTCTTCCCTCGTCTATGTCTATATGTAAGCACAATGGAAAAAATACAACTGGAAATGCTGTGAATTAAAATACTGCAGGCTGGGCTCGGTGGCTCAGTCTGTAATCCCAGCACTTTGGGAGGCCAAGGCGAGTGGATTGTCTGAGGCCACGGGTTTGAGACCCGCCCGGGCAACTTGGCGAGACCTTGTCTCTACAATAAATCAAAAAATTAGCTGTGTGTGGTAGCACACGCCTGTAGTTCTGGCTACTCGGAAGGCTGAGGTGAAAGGATCACCGGAGCCCAGCAGGGTGAGGCTGTAGTGGCCAGGAGCATGCCACTGCATTTCAGTCTGGGCGACAGAGTGAGACTCCAACTCAAATAAATAAGTAAATAAATAAAATACTGTGAATCAGAAAAAAAATCCCACCACTCTGTTTACAAGTATGTATTCTCCAATGACCATGGCAACAGTAATGTGCAAAGTTTTGGTGCAGTAAACTAAAATGAAACAAGTTATCTGAACTTCTACTTTTGTGAACTTAAAATTCTCAGCCTAATATAATTTTCTGAAAAAACCTTCTATTTTTATTTTTCTATTTATTGTCCAGGTTGGCGTGCAGTGACACGATTATGACTCACAGCAGCCTTACCTCCTGGTTCAAGCAATCCTTCCACCTTAGCTTCCTGAGTAACCCTTCCTGAGTAACTGGGACTACAGGAACACACCACCAGGCCTGATTGATTTAAAAAAATTTTTTTGTAGAGATGAGGTCTTGCTATGTTGCCCAGGCTGGTCTCAAACTCCTGGGTACAAGCAATCCTCCCACCTCTGCCTCTCAAAGTGCTGGGACTGTAGGTGTGAGCCACTAGGCCCGACCAAAACTTCTATTTTTTGTTAATTTTAATCTTAGATAAAAGTTGCAAGGAGTTCCCTTATATCCCTCAGTCCATCCCCCTAATGTCAACACCTTATTGATCATAATTAACTAGAAGAGGAACATAACTAAAGATCTTATTTGAATTTCACCAATTTTTCCACTTAATGTCTTTTCTCTAGGACCATCCTACGTTGCATTTAGTTACTTCTCTTTAGTCTCCCCAAATCTGTAAGCCCCTCAGTCTTTCCTTATATTTTAGGACTTTGGCATTTTTGAAGAATGCTGATCAGTTATTTTGTAGAATGTTCCCAAATTTGATTTGGTCTGATTTTTTTTTTTTAATTATTGAAATAAGGTTATGCATTTTGGGAAGTATGCCACAAAGATGTCATGCCTTTCTCAGTTCACTCTGTCAAGGGACTCAGATGTTGATATGTCTCCTTTCTAGTGGTTTATCCTGATTGCTTGCTCAAGTTGGTGTCTATCAAATTCCTCCACGTATCTCAGGGTAAGATATCTGAGACTATGCAAATTCCTGTCTCTTCTCAATCTTGTATCCACTGATTTCAGCATCCATTAGAAAATCCTGTCTACGACATTTACTATAGTGGTGCTAGCTAATAGTGATGCTCTACTTCCCCTTCTTCCACAATTATTAACTGGAATTCTGTTTTGAGGACAAGTTATCGTCTTCCTCATTTGCTTATCTATTTATTAGACTGTTTCTACCCATATGTACTCATTCCAGATGACCTCCAATGAGTAACACCTCTGTAACCCCTCCTTTTAACTGAGGGCAGAAGTTGTGATTTGGCTTCTAACCAAAAAACATGCCACAAAGTGATGGCTATCACTCCTGTAATTATGTTATGCTATATGGCAAGGGTGAAGGGATTTTGCAGATGTAATTGAACTCCCTCATCAGCTGACTGAAATAATCAAAAGGGAGATGATCCTTTCTGGGTCTAACTTTAAGAGGACCCAGGGTTTCTAGGAAGTAGGTTTCTATGATGTGAACTGAACCACAAGGCAAAAACAGGAGGCCTCCGGAACCCAGGGGTCTCACTTCTACAACCACAAGGAAGTCAGTCTGCCACAGTCTGGAAGAAAATGGAAGCATATTCTTCTCTAGATGATCCTCCAGTGAGACTGCAGGTAACTCAACACTTTGCACCTTGTGAAACCTTGAGTAGAAGAAAGAGTTGAGCTCTTGGCTACAGGAACTAAGATAATAAATGTGCCTTATTTTAACCTGCTAAGTTTGTGGTAATTTATTACACACCAACAGTAAACTAAGAAACTTGTGGATGTTTATTTTATTTTGTACGTTAAAATCCAACCTACCCAGCCAAGCTCAGCTTCATCAGCAATGGAGAACTAAAATCCTT